ACGAGCGTCCTACCTGTCGCTCTTTATCCTTATCCGCGCACCACGCAAATGTACGCACCTGTAGCGACCGTTGAAGCGTGAATTCGATCCGTATTTCCGTATCCGTGCACATTCGGTTATACGTGCACTGGCCCCGGCTCAGAAACATAGAATCGCCGGCAGAATTTCTATCTCGGGAGCGACACCTCCCCCGTTTTTCGGGGAAACGAAAATGGCTCTCCTCGTCTCGGACTCTGTAAAAAGGAAAAGCAAACGCGCGGATGTAAATCCCGCTGTAGGACACGAATAAATCACCGAAAAAAAACTTTTCCAGAAGTTCATTCGACCACCCTCCGTCTGACATTTAGCGAAGATAAAAGCATTCTCCGACTTGTACGAGCGAGCACGAAGAGAGAGAGAGAGAGAGAGAGAACTCTCGCCTTGTCTTACGTTCTCGTGTGAAAAATCCCGCGTGAAATTTGTCGACGATCGCGCGCGTTATGATTCGCGAGGAATTCTTCGTTCTTTTCGCCTCCGCGAATTTCTCGATATTAAACAACCGCGATCTTATCGTTTTTTTCGTGCTTTCTCTCTCGGCTCTCCCTTTCCGTATCTCACTTCCAATGCGAATCTCGCGTCGCTATCAATCCTTTCATAGACTTTACGGCGTGCTTTCGGGACGGAAAGTCTACCGCTGGTTCTGATTGGCAGCGTGTCGGAAAGAACCGTCAACGAGTAAGGACCTGTCATCGCTTTTTCTTTACCTTCCCCCGTCCTTCTTACGGACGTCCGAATGAACTCCCGTCGCCACCACCGCGGGTGCGATTACCATTTTATCGAGTTTGATTTGCGAGCACTTTGCACAAACCTTGTTACTACGTGGGAATTGTGAGCGAAGGAGCTGTATTGGGCAGCGTTGTCGTCGCTCTTTAAAAAATTCAGTCGGACTTCTGGTAAGAATGTATATCATGAAAGTCGAAATGTGTGTACACGTTGTTTCGTAACATGTGGACGTGACATTAGAATTTCATATATCGAAATAATATAAAATGATCGCGTTCGTTCGCTACCTAATCTCGTTTTCACCGTATTATTTTATAATGACAGATTCCCTCTGGACGTGTCGGGGGTCGAGTCTAACTTAGCGAAACATCAAGAGGTCATTGTCAATCTTTTAACGTTTGACATCGCGTATCTTTCTAAATGAAAAATTTGCCTCAAATGAAAAATGTTATTAAAGCCAACTCCGCTTAAAATTAACTAAAAAAACCGTTCCTTCGTTACTCTCTAAAGCTTAATTTGCAAAAAAGTCTTGCTTTTTTTAAGTCGTTGTTAATTCGAGAACAAATGTTGCCTTTACATTTTCACTAAGGAAAAGTCTACTTCAAATTTATCGGAGATCCAGCCGTTGAAAAATAAGGCAAGGCGGAAGTAGGACACGCCACATGTATCAGGCTACAATCGAAATTTTATTGGCACCAGGTGCACCGTGACAACGATTAATCGCGGTCTGGTGAGAAAAAGTGCAGCAAGGAGCTGCATCGAAAATGCGACAAAATAAGCAAATCTTCCGCGATTGATTATGGATGCGACGCAATACAATGGGTAAACAAGCATATGCCGTTGAATTTCAATTTCGTGAGTCGATCAATGTTTACCGGCGTCTCATCGTTTCAGTATCACGAATTCGCTTGATGTTTGCACGTAACGGATATGCTCACGGTAATGCCTAAATAAATCGATTTCAATCATAAACGGCAATCGAATCACATCGAAGAAAACTTTCAGCAAACAATCATTTCATTATCATCAGTGATTAATACAAATACATGCGGCATACGCGTCGTTTACACGACCAATTCCGGTCTCGCAATTATTCCAGTTATAATTTCAAAACATTCGCCGATAAACAAGATGTAATGAGATTATTACGCTTCCTATAGATTTCCCTTTGGCGAATTTGGAGAGAGAGAGAAAGAGAAAGAGAGACAGAGAGAGAGAGAGAGAGAGAACGGAGGGGGAAGAGATGCTTTATCCATGCGCAACAAACCATCGCTTAATAGAAACTCAAATCTTCGATGTACAGAATAAGGCAATAATCACTTTACTATCTTGAATATCTTCGAGAAATAAAAATATTTTAATAACGACTAGATGTGAAGGTAGAAAAAGTTTGAATTTGCAGAAGGTGTTCAAAGTGATAAGTGATTGGTATCAATGCAATTTCCGTTAGATACATTTTTCTCCTATTTTCATATTTCACAAATATTCAATATGGCAATAGTTATCTCATCCTGTAAAATTTTTCCGTTCCCTCTAAAAAGCGAAGAACTCGGAAGAGTAGCGCGTTCTATGCGCGTCCATTTAATTCATCGGGCGATCAAATCGAAATAATGTTCCCGTATTTCTCCTCTGCGACGAAAATTTATGCATCTACGGTGGTGCGAGCGCGCAATTGTAGTAGGTCTCCTTTATCATGCGACAGTACGTTTGTCATCCGAATACGGTAAGTGGACCGCGGCGAAGTATCTGCCGCGTATAATTGTGCCGCGCGGTTAATAACAAGTTTCATCGTCGTCGAAACGGAGAAGATATGGCGATAGAGCAGCATCCTATCGCGTCGCATTGTAAACTGCGAATATACTCGCGAACTTCGTCACGGCTCGTTCAAAGACGAGGGAACACTAACGAGTCGGATGGAAATGAGCGCGAAGTTTAGTCCGAGGAATCCCTTCTTGCGTCACGTCCGCTTTATAACGGTAATAAAGATACGAAGGGTGCGCTTTAACGTTTCTTCGTCGTCATGGTGGCATCTGCCGAGAGTTTTGCAGGGTGAAAAGGAGGAAGGATGAGAGAAAGAGAAGAGTAAGAGAAGAGGGGGGGGGGGGGTACGGGATGTTCTTTAGTTGAAAAACCGCGGGCCAGAATTTGCCGGCGGCAATCAAGCGTAATTGCACGCGGAAATGCAAAACATAATCACCGGCGGAATCCTATTTTTCTGACCTTCCGAGCAGGCGAGGTCGGCCGGCCGGGCATGCAAGATTCGTAATTACGCCGCGTAATTACCAGATAACAGATAGGCAGGCAGGCGACTATCCTCGTTTTTCTTTCGCCACATGTCTGGAAAACGTGCCGCGTCATTGGGTGCAAAGCACCATGCCGCTCCTTTAAATCTTCCGGTGCTACGAAAAAAGGTGCACTCTGCTAAGCGAATTTTAAAACGGCCCTGGGTACATCAGCGGGAGGAAATTTCAGGCGGCTGATAGCGTAACTTTACGATCGCTTTAATTGATAAGACGTTGATAAAGGCGCCTCTGCTTGAAAGGAAACGGAAGGAGAAAAGGAGCGTTTGTAACTCCGTATTTATCAAAGTATTAATATTTTGTCGACGTTAATTTGCATCATAAGGTAAAAGTCCCCATTACCGAAGCTGATCCTATTATCTTAGATAGAACTTACTTTTTTTAATAAATTATGAAAAATAAAATGATACCATGAATTTTTTTCTGAAAATTAAAAGTATTGAAATATCAGTATTTATATTGTATACAATTTATCAGACATTGAAGTTATTTTTTACAATTAAAGGATGCTTTCAAATCACTTCACTTTAATTTTGTCCTCTCCGAACATACCAAGTACACAAATGCAAAGATTCTTAAATCATATTTTTTTCATATGTCGGTGTAATGTTGACATTTTCTTTCTCTAGATAAAACTTTAAGTTTTTTATCTGAGCGATAAAACATGCATATATATTCATTATCCAAAAGCCGGACAGCTTTCTTTCGAGTGGTCGAAAAAACATTTTGTTTTATCTAAAGTTGTACTCCCCGTCTATAGGAATGATCGACCGTCCTCCATCGATCCGTCCGCCAGTTAGTCGCGCGTGAACTTTTTTAACGGCTTACGAGGTTGCCCGATACGTCGATTCGCGCGAACCCGCCGATGATCAGCGACGCC